ACCCTTGGCAACTGACTAAATCACTGTGAGCCCCGCTTTTGACATTCATAAGTGGGAACTGATAATATTATTAGTCTGTTGCAACTTATTTAATGTGAGCATATATGAAGCACCTAGCACAGGATCCCAATGCTGCAGGCACATAGCAAACATTAGTATAAAGGATTAATAATCATGGCTGAGATTACTCTCTGGACACAGAGGCTCACAACTGGCCTGAAGGAGCTCTAGACTGGGACTTCTGCTTGCTGCCTTTGCTTGGAATTTCAAGGACGCTATCTCTCAATTATGGTTCTGCCAGCGGGAATTCCAGAGTAAGCACAGCACTCTGAACTCATAAGGGCACCTGCTACTCACAACTGCCCTCACTGGTGGCATAGACCAGGTCGCTCCCAGGATCACCTACTGTTACCTGAGGAAGGCATGCTGACTTCTGGGAGTCCCAGAGTTGGTGGGATTACATGTCCTCTTGCTGTGAAACCACTTCTATCAGCACAAGTGTCTAAATCCAAGACATCTTGATTGATTTACATGTTTTAAAGTCCAGGCAAGGAAATCTGACTGGTCAAGTGTGATGCCCTGAGGTGAATGAGAATATTCAGGCTCATTTAGGCTAATGTCTCTGAATATAGGGACAATAGTTGGGCCCTTGTGTAACTACAGTATTATTCTAGTGAAGACAAGACTTGTCTTGGAAATTAGCCTCATTACATATGCAATTCCAGGCTTTCAGTAGGCTATAGAGAGCCATCAACCAAAAGACAACAGGCATAATTTTGCTTTCTCTCAGGTGGAGCCATAGTTCTATTTCTGGCCTCAGATGCTGTCTGTGGATGAAGTATGGGACAAGAATGCTCAAAAAAGTGGGTGAGAGAAAAACAGATGAGAGAAAAACCACCTTTCTTTCAAATTGGAGCTTGAGGTTTTGAAGTTGGAGGTAGAAAACCATTGTGAAAAGCTATTCTTTTAAAAATACACGTTAATTTATTCTACACATTCTGATAATATGAAAGAGATAGAATTCCAAACATAGCTTATCTGTCCCTTTTCATCCAATGATTGATTTTTTATCTTTCTTGTGATCACTTATTTAGAATTTTCTAATTCTTATGGACTAAAACTTTTTTTTTTCACTGTGAATTACATTTTTTCCTTCTCTTTCTCCATTCACATATTTTTGTTGTCAAGGTCCATACCTTTTCCCCTAATTTACTTGGAAAAACATTTGGCCTTTTGGAGTAAAAGGGTTTAAGAATGGACTATTGTTTCCTGAGGAACCGCAGAATCTCTATGGAGAGCAGATTGTTCCTGGAGTTAGTACCTTAAGCAGTAGTGTCCTTTAGATATTTCGAAGAGAAAAAAAACATTTAATTGCAATCTTGAAAGGAATTAAATGGGTGGCACCCATGATCTTCTCATTCACTCAGTATCCATAACATTTCATCCACTTTTGGTTGCTAGGATGAACTGGGGAAAATACTCTCCCTCAACTATCTAATCATCTTACTTAGCTAAACTGATTTATGAGAGAGAAAGAGCAGTGGGAGAACACACACAGGGCATGTGGATGGGTGGACTAGGGCCGTCATGCTTGGATGTTCTATATCTTCCTATGTAAATGATGAAGTTATCATTATGTTTTTTTTTGGTAGCGGGGATTGAACTCCGGTCCTTGTACTTGCAAGGCAGGCCACCGAACCACTGCACTAAATCCCCGGCCCTATGAAGTTATCATAGGGGACCACCTTCACATTGAAAGGTTTTTCTGATTTACCTTTGTATATTATAGTGTTATTCAGCTCAGCCAAGCCTGAGGCATTCACCTCTTCTGCCTAAAAGGAAATGTCAGAAAGTGGATAAATTGGTCCATCATGTTTTCTATGCTCTCCATTGAATCTGCCGAGAAAAATCATTGGAATCATCATTCAGCACTTTTTCCTCAACTGAAATACCTTGTATGTTCTAAAATACTAAAGAATTTACACAAATGGCAAAAGAAAACCTAAAAGAGATGTGTGTGCACCCAGTGACTGCAAGTGTGTGGTAGTGGTCAGTCTGGGCGTCCTTTCTAGCTTCAGAATGATTAATGGGTGGCTGGCTGTTCTGATGTAGCCCCACAAGAAATCCTGAGGCCCCTTAGACAGGACTCAAGCATGCTTATATATTTGGTGCAGTCCCTGAGAAGGGTAGTAAAGATACCCCAAATTATCTCAATCCGAGATACTGTCTGGATAACTTAGATAATGTAGGAGTGCTATCCCAAGGGATAGATTCCTTCTACTTCAAGTTTAACACAAGCTCTTCAGTGAAAACACAACTTCCATCTGAATCATTCTTACAAGCTGAATTTTTATTTTTACTAAATTATGTTAAAAAGAAATCTGTGCCTGGTGTGGAATTTCACTCCATCAAGTGTTACAATGACTTTCATTTTCATCACAAGCAGGAGAATGAAAGGAGGACAAGTGTTAGGAAACATGGCAATAAATTAGAATATAACTTACAAAAGCAAAAACAGTAACAGTGTACCACATTAATACTGAGTACAAAATAATAAGTAACAACTAATCACAATAATACAAAGATAATTTTGTTCTGTATTATTAAGGATACCTACGTGACATTCACTCAAATAAAAAATGTTCCTAATGAAATGATTGGTTGGAAAGCCCTATGTATCTCCAGGGGTTTAATCATTTGGGTGTATTTACCTTTTCTTTTTTGGTAGGCCTGACCTATATACCAGTGGCAGACCCTGCTCCCAGCTGCAATATACCATTTTCCTTGGGGTTTCCTACGTGTCATACAGCTCACTACTTTTGCAGTGCCTACCATGGTGGCCTAGACTTTACTGACAATCCTGTTGTTATTTAGGAAAAAAGCTTCATGTAACCATGTGAGTAGGTACAGAGCAATAGCAGTCTGGTAACGTGCTATGGAATATATTTTTTAACCTGCTGAGGTTTAAATTCAGGATCTACCTGAAAATGTTTACTCCTGTTACATTCTGTGCTTCTTTCCCTCCTGAAAGGTGATCCAACGTTTTCCCAGGAAGTAAGCTTCCCTCAGTGCTGTTGCGCATCTGAGACAAGCCTCTTCTAGCACCAATTGAGGAACTGTACTGCCCAGGTGTATGGCCATTGCAATGGTATTTTCCAGGTGAGGTAAAACAGAACCGTTAGTCAGTAATGTAAGAGATCTTGAAATAAAAACATGAGCTAATATTTGTGCCGGTGAAAGATACAGGTAGCAAGTCTATGCCTAAACTGTCACAGAAACCACCCAGTTTTTGTTCATTTCACCCGGGCACAGTAGCACCAAGTTACCTATTTTTTAAAAAGAGCCAAAGGAGTTCAGTGCCAGGGCCATGAGGCTCATGGCTATTTTCCTTTAATGAAAAGCCAAAGTGACGCTTGATCTTTGAAGGGCAGGATAGGTGGGGACTTGGCAATATCTCTTGTGTCATCAATAGGACTCTCTGGCAAACTCAGGGATGAGAAGTGTAGGACTGAGGGAGAAGCCAGAAATGAATTAAGGATGGTCATGACTGAGTATGCAGAGAGCCCTGTGCCAACTGACCACAGCAAACTCAGAAGTTTAGGTTCTCTCTTCCTTTCAGGAAAAAAAAAAAATGAACAACCTAAGATCATGGTATTTGTGACACACAGACATGTAGTTTCAGAGCACAGTGATGGATACAAGTGAAATGTGCCCTTTAATTGCAGATATTATCTTTACAAAATAGCCATTTAGTGTTCTAGGTTTTGGTGTACGCATGGTGTACATACATGTACAATACAGGAGGAGTATTGGACACAAAGCACATCCATTGAGAACCTGCTATAAGCTATAAGTGTTCAAGTAAAAAATATTAACATTAACAAGTACCCTCTTGAAAAAAAATCTAGCTGTTGAGTCTTCTGATGAACAAAGTAGAAAACTTGAAGATACGAGCTAGTCATTTTAATTTACGTGGATGAGATTCTTCAGTTTGACTTGCCTCAGATACGGTTTCACATTTAATTGCTATTTAGAGTATCCATAAAAATAAAACTAGTTGGTTAAGTGACTATTAAAATTATATTTTATGATCTCTAGTCTTTATGAGTTTTTCTTCTTTGGTTGTTTTCCCTTGCCTACTTTAAAACTCATAGAAATAGCACCTTACGTGCAAGCACACTCATCTATCCATATATTCAAAAGCATCCGTGTGCACACATACGCACACATACACACACATACCTGCTCTCATATAAATAATTGCCCTTCTACCATATCAAAGAAGGGACATCTGGAGCCCATCATAATTGTCAGAAAATTGCAAAAGGTCTGCCTTGTTCCTGAGCCGGTCTATCTTTTGCATGGCATCAACTCAGTAAGCTCAACATGCGTGCAACAATCTAACAGGGCAGAGACTGTTCTGTGGCTGGTGAGGATGTAAAACACAATTGAGTTAGCGTAACTCAGATAAGAAGAAGACATTCTGTGTGATAGCAAAGAGCCTGGTATTTTCGTCCTTACCATATCCCAGTTCTGGCTTCTGCATGAAACTGAAAGGCTTTTCTCTTAAAGTTTTAATGGAAATCTCAGCTTCACTTGCACAATGGCAAGTTAGCCACAGTCTTTTAGCACTGAATTTATAGACTTGCACAGCTGCAGGAACTGATGCACTGCTTTAAGCTAAGTCCCTCATTGTTCAGTTTAATACAGTTTTATATATGGCTCACAGTAGTCTTCAGAATAGGGGGATTATTCCTCAGGCAATTAAGTGGAATGGAAATAATACAAACTTTCATTATTTTTGACTTATAATTGCTCTTAAATTACAGTTCAAAGCCCAGTTTATAATTTAAATTGTGGTGCTGTTTAGTGAGATAAAGTATAGTAAACATTTTAAAGCTATGACTTAAGAATTCTGAATCTTCTTTACTTCTATAGTTGACCAAGTCATAACAGCTACATTTTAAACAGTTTTAAATACAAATTGATTCAGTGTCATTGCTAAGTCCATAATAAAAATTATCTTAATGGTCCAAGGAGGTAAACATGCTATTGGATTTACTTAAAAGAACACAAACGTTCCACAGTAAGCAAGTCTCCCTGTGTTGTTTGGATCTCTCCAATCTGGCATCCCCTCCTAATACCGTGTCCAGCACTTTGGATCAATAAATCCCACTTCACAGAAGTTAAAATAATATTGAAATCCTGTCAGCTAGGGCTGACCAGTGGTTACGTTTTCCACAGGGTAATGCTTTTGCAAGGACATCAATCCTCTTCCTCTGGGTGGCTCTCGTTGATGGACACATTTCCATGATGAAATGACAAGGTTCTCTCTGGCTTTCCATGGGTCAGTGTCCTTGGCAGGTTTTACAGCACATCTGCCTGAAGTATGCTCGACTGCAGAATTTGAACTTCAGCACCAGTGGGCAATAAGCCACTTTGTTCACATCTTTGCACTCTAATGGATGGGGGCAGAAAATGGAAAACAATTAAAGGTACATAAACAAGTGCATAAACAAGCCAATCCACCTGGATAGTTAGTAGGACCCCCTTCAGGACAATCTACATTGGTTTTCACATCCTCGTGGTTTTTGTTTTTTGTGTTTAGGCATACCCTGTCTGGTACAGCCTACCAGAAACATTCTTTTGACATATTTTAACACAAAAACTTTAAAAAATGTTTGCAAAGCTTTTCTTCCAGACTTTTATAAGTGTGTGGTGCATGCCTACTGTGTCTTGAAAGAATTACCATTTTTTGGGATAAGTGATTGCTTTAGACAGCTTGGAAACATGAGTCATTTTTCTTACAGTGCTTTTATTGCTTCTTTCTCAAGGGTTATTTTATTCAACAGTGCAAGCTTATCCAAAATAAAACATGAGTTGCATTATTTGATATCAAAGTACACATATCTCAAGAGAATCTGTATCTAAGAGATGTGAGGGTGGGCCTGGGTGAATGCAAAGCATGGCTGACAGTGGCCTAGATTCAGCAACTACGCTAGACAAAGAGGAAAGCTTTAAGGGGTTGGCCTTAAATGGCAGCAGTCTGTGGGTTATGGAAACATGTAGAAATGTCTTTTTTTAATTTGTAAGTGAGACATGGCCTCCTTTTTTCCTATGTGTATTTTCTCTTCAGTGGTAGAATTGCCGCAGTTATAGTCTGCAGTTCTTGCAGCCAGAAGGTGAATAAATTATTCTTTTCCCACATCCCCTTGGAAGTCAGGTGCAGAGGTGGAATTGAGGGGCTGGTGTAGAGAAAGGGACACCAGCCTTTGATTATCAGCAGCCCTGCACATTCATTGCCACCAATATAATTTCACTGCGTATAGTGATTTTCTCCAGGATTCTGGTCACTTTTGTCTGGGAATTTTAAAATGTGTCAATCTAATAATTAAATTTATATGCATTCTAGAACTAAAGGTCCACCCTTATTTTTCTAGGTGGCTATACTGAAATATACTGAATAAATTGTTTAAGGTAATTAGGACTCGGGCAATGTACTAGGTAAAATACAGGGTGACAGAACAGTTTTTGTTGTTCCTTCTTTTTCCTGACTCCAGAAACCCACTAAAATTCTGAGAAATCTAATACCTGGTACATAAGCCACAGGATAAACATGCAAAATTAAATGCAAAGAATGGGGAAGTTTCAAGTCATTATCAAATCGTATGGTAACAATCTTACTGATCTAATTTTTAAGGTTCTTTCAGGCAACATCCTCAAATTTGAAACGGGATCCCTCAAATCCTCTAAAAACATAAACTCTAGCAGGATAGGGTGGCACAAGCCTATAATCCCAGCACTTCAGTGGCTGAGGCAGGAGGGTCACCATGAGTTCCAGGCCAGCCTGGACTACATAGTGAGTTCAAGGTCAGCCTGTACTATACATAGAGAGGCCTAGCCTCAAAAAACCAAACCAAATCAGACCAAAAACAAACAAAAAAACATAAGCTTTGCCACCATCAAACTCCCATACTCAAGATGTGATTTACAAAGAGAATAATATTTAGAAATTTGAACAAAATTTTCATACTATATTCTTAGTAAATCTAAGTTTTGGCTGAAAGAAAGTAGGAACACAAAAAAAATTATTTAAAATTGTTCTTAAAAAATAAATCAGATGGTATTTGGTGGATTGTGTGTGAATTTGCAGTGAAAAGATTTTCAAATATTTTAAATTGGAGATCACTTGGAATTCTTTTTTTGTTTGTTTTGCTCTCTAAATATTCTCTACCAATAAAAATATCCAAAAAAGTTTTGACCCACAAAATTTTTGTGGAAAAGTATCTGTTACTATCACTGTTACCAAGAGGAATATATTGTCCATATAAAATAATTACTGAAATAATGAGAAAAGCTGAGAGCACCTCTAGTGACATAATGTTACCCACATAACAGGGCAGCCACTCTCTACTCTGCAATAAGATGTGGCATGACTTGTTAAAATATAAAATAATCTTTAGCTTTGACTTTCTTTGCCGAAATACAAAAGGGATTTAGTTGGTAAACAGAGGAGAATTGGTTATTTTAATAGTATACGGACATAAAATCAGGAACCAGACACCCTTGATATAACCCTAGTTTTACCATTTACTAACTTTATGACTGAAAAAATCACATAATCTCACCATGCCTAAGCTTTTTCAATTGTTTTTCTACTCAGGAGTAATTAGAATACCCACTGTCACATATAACATGTAATTACATGAACATCCTTACGTACATCCAACTAGAGCAGTGCCTGGTACACATACAGTGTTGGGTAACTGTAAGATACGGAATTACTACTGTTAGTAGTTACTAGCATCTCTTAATGCTTGATGATAGGAAGGAAGCAAGGAGTTATATGCTAAATTTCTCCATATCGATGCAATATTTGGACTACTACTGAGAAAATACTGCTATAAAGACAGGAGAGAGTTTGAAAACAGCTCTAAAGGCTTAAAACAGTTTGAAGACAAAACAAAGATGACTATTTCCAGGGTGGCAAGAGTCCATACTCCATTTTCAGAAGAGTTGGTGGAACATGAAAATTCTAAGTTGAACAAAGTATGAAAAAAATTCAGACTTTTCTTCTAGATTTTAGATTTGGGGATCTGATTAAATAATGCATAACAAATGAATATTTATAAATTGCTTCTCCCTCCACCTACCCATCCATCCATCTACTACAAATGTTAAGTGATGGGGGATTTGCTTCTTAGCCAGGTGCTGGAAATAAAACTCTCTTCTGTGTACAGAGGCCCACAGCACAGCCCTCTGTCCAGGAACATTACTGTGCCCCTCCTCGGGGTGGGCTCAGGGCTAATGCAGAATGTTTCTCCCAGAGCTTGCCAACACCTTTATTAAGTTAGCTACCAACTAATTCAGTTGAATGCAGGAAGTCACTGGGTCCTGGGATCAAGTTTAGGGAGGTAGAGATGATGAGCACCTCTTACATTGCCCTTGACAGTAGCACAAATATTGGTTAATAGCCCATCAGGTGGGTAGGGGGTGACTTTTGGCCCTACCTCCATGACATTTGGCCTTCACCAAGTTATATCACCACTCTCAGTCTCAGGTCCTTCATCTCTAAAATGAAGACCATGATAAGGCCTGCTCACGGTAAGGACATTGTGAGGCTTTCATGAGGTATTGCAAATAGCGTAAAGCACATGCCGTGGCATCTGGCTCAGAATAAACGCTCGTTTGTTCTCTCATTATTGACCCTACAACTTCCGCCTCTGAAAACAACCATGTATTATTTTTCTGAGACCCTGATGGAAATGAATATAGGCTCTTGGGAAGGGTTACACATTTGCACAGAGGCAAATGAACAGAACGTTATTACATAAGAGAGCAGGAGGAAGAGGTGAGGAAAGACCCGGGAAGATCCAGAGACTGCCAAGACTCAGAAAATAGGCTGCTATGAAACATTAGCATGGAATTATTTAGGTTGTACAAGGACATTTAGCCTTAATGGAGTGTGAGGACTCCTGAAAAGGAGGGTTGTACAGAAAATTTAGTTCTTGGTTTTTGCCTTCGAGGAACTATATTGACTGGAAGAATTGATTCACTGCAATCTTGGGATTGATGAGAATCTATTCCCAAAGGTCAACTATACCTGGTCTTTATTCTGTCTTTTAAGCCCACAAGAGCTCAATTTGGTAATAAAAGCATTGAATATTACAATTTATCAAGCACTTCCTTTGTGTCAGGTTCAACTTTAGGTGGTTATATGTATTTTTATATTAAGCATTTTAAGTATATAATATGTCAACTTTAGATAGACAACAAAACTTAAATTCAAAAAGGTTATGAAATTATGCTGAGTCATACAGCCAATAGTTGGTTTAAGGACTGGGATAGGACCAAGGTTTGTCTGACTGCAGAGCCACTCTGATTTCAGCAACTTGGCATCTAATACACAATGTTTCTGCCTGTGACTGTGCACTTGGCTAGCACTATTGATAAGGTAATCTTTGGGGCATCATAGTCAGATCTTCTTTGTTTTTTTGAGAGTTTGCTTTGCCTCTATAGGGAAAGGGGAAAAAGAAAAGTGTTTTTTAAAAAAGGAAAGAAGAAAAAGGAATAAATATGAGAAAAGGAAAAAACAGAAACAATGTCTTTGTAAATAAGGAGGGGTAGAGGGATTGAAGGGAGGGCAGGGGAATGGGGAAAAATATAAGAACCAAGATATATCATGTAAAGGTAAAAATTCCTAATGATGAATGTCATCATACTGTATACTTAAAATATATCAAGAAACTTAATGAAAGAAAAAAAGGAATATTCTAGGTCACAGACACTTAAAGTAACCTGAATTACCTCTTCCTACTTTCCTTCACTACATCTTCCATTTCAAATTTTATAAAATTACATAAGTGAAAAGGGATTTTTTAGATACACCCATTATTAAAGACCCATTATTATGAAAGGTTGAACGCAATTCCCAAAATATAGTTACTAGTTTTACATTATATTGGTGCATTCAACTTACTGCCATTTTTAGCTCAAAGAGGACTCATTTGTTATATTGTTGGATTTAACTCATTGACAATGCTGATGCAGTTGAGAGGCCAAAATTACAAAATTTATCCTTTCATTGTTGGCCTCCTTAAAATTTATTAAGATTATGAAATAGTTGGACCGGGGATTTAGCTCAGTGGTCCTGCATCTGCCTTGCAAGCACAAGGTCCTGAGTTTGATCCCCAGTACCAAAAATAAAGATTACAAAATAGTCTTCTCTCTTTCTCTCTTGAGTTCTCTGGTGTGAATAAACTATAATAGTACATAAGATCCTAATGAGATAACTGACATTGTGAAATGAGAAGAAAAGGGCTAAAGATGTAGGGAAAGTGGGAATGGTAGGGGAAAGGTAATAAGGGAAAAAATATGAGAATGAAAAAATGGAAATAAAGTGCTTGTAAACTGGGAGGGGAGGAGGGGGTGAAGGGAGGGCAGGGACAAGGGGAAAAA